CGTTTGGAACCCAGAGAAAAACTCTGTGGTGCTTCTAGTACTTCCATGTTCACAGGTAAAAATTAATGGATTACAATAGCAACCCCAAAGAGAGAGGATGAATAGCTCAGACCCTTCAGGAACAAAGGTGTCAACCCAACAATAACTCCCAGCTGAAAGTACAATAAAATGTTAATGGTAGAGTCCAGGCAGTGGGCATATGAGGTCTACTGTAATATTCTTTCAGCTTTTCTGTATGTTTGAAAATTTTATAATAAAATCATGGACAAAAAAAGGGATGGAGGGAACATAATCTGCGATGCTGTCAGCAAAGGGAACATGAAATAAGTATCTGAAGGAAATATTAAATATCAATTATAGTCTCAAGACTTGCAAGAAGGAGAACTATAGTAGCTCTATATTCTTTCTTCACTGATTTGTAGTGTGTACGTGTGTGTGTGTGTGTGTGTGTCAAAATGATAAATGCTTACTTTTGTTCCTTTACTTATCAAATTTTCAGAATAAGCCGGTACTCTGGCAAGCTCCATAAAAGGTTCTATCAAAAAAATTTTCATTTTGAATTTGGAAGCTTTACCTACATTGTTTCAGTCCACTGCAATAGCTTTTATGTGCTCAGATTATCCTACCTTTGGTCAGTTCCTTCAGGTTGACATGATTCTACAGTCTTTGACAGCTTTTTTGCTTTTAGGCATAAAAGATATGTCAGAATAATCATATATACATGTCCTACCCTTGACCTGTTCATATGCCATTTCTCCAAGAAGTCCTTGCTTCCTTTTATAGAAAACAGGATTTAGGAACCAAAGATTGTATACATGAAACATGGTGCTCACTGCTTCCATGTCACTAATGCATTTAGACTCCTTCATTGGAGAGGTAGGAAATGCACACTTCAAATTCACATGAAAGACTACAGGCATTTTACTTCATTTTTTATTTTGCAAAAATTGAATCCTCATGAAATTAAGTTATGTACTTAATTTTGGACTCACCTACAATAATATCAATATTACCTTTAATAAAAGGCTAGTAAAGCAAGCATAGATTTCACTGTATTTCTTTGTCCCTGAGATATAGCTCTCCTACTACTATGTCAAAATATTTTAACATCATTTGAAATTATTCTTCTTTACATTGTTATGTAATAAGCTGATGGTGAATCAAATTCACTGGTTTTGATATTAGGATGGCTATTTCCCCTTTGCCTTCTTTTTTAAAATAAAAGTCAATACGTAAAGTATCTCCATGGATCCAAAGTAAAAATATAAAACAAGGTTCAACCAAAGATAACTACCTTCCATCCTTGCTCTCTCCCAACTGTTGTTTCACTTTATTTCTTTTTGAAAGTATAGGTATGTATAGTATTGATCTTCCTTTCACAAATGTTAGCATAATATACATATTATTTTCCACTTACCTATTTTTTCATTTAACCTATCATGAAGATCACTCTATAGAAGTATACAGTTGCATGATATTCCACTGTTACATAAATATGCTAATTAAACCAGTTTATACTGAACATCTGGATTGTTTCCAGTCTGCTGCACTTATATATAGTATTTTAAAAATTTTTGTGCATACCACATTTTATAATTTTACCAATATATCTTTAGGATAGAAGCAAGGGTCTGGGCCTTATGGGATATGCAGAGATTACACATGGACATTGCTCAATTCCCTCATATAAGAGTTGTACTGTTTTACATTTTCAGCAGCAATGTGAGAGTCCTTGTTTTCCCAGTCTTGCCAATAGAATATTTTAATACCTTGTTGGATTTCTGTCCATCTGATTGGTATGAAGTGGTATCTCAATGTAGTGTTACTTATATTCTCGTCTCAACTTTTAGGCTCTTTATGGTTATTAGTTTGTGATATAGTTGCAAATATCTCCAGTTTGTAATTTTCCTGTAGCTTTATGAACACTGCTTTAGTCCTACAGAAAACTGACTTCTTCCTCCTTATTTCTACTGGATTTTGATTCATAGTTATTGATATCTCAATTCCAAGGTTATAAAGGAATCCACTCATGTTTTCTCATAGTACTTGTTAAGTTTCTCGTTTATCCTTTTTTGATATTTAGATCTCTTGATTTGCTGGGAATTTACCCTGCTTTATACTGCCAGGAATTAATCTACTTCTATCCCCTACATTTTATCCAGATGCACTAAGACAAATTATAACAAGTTCTTTTCCAACATGGTTGTAGTAAAATGGCTCCTGAGAAGAAAGGTGGTTAGGGAAAAACTAAGGGCTTTCTGTCATCTATAAGATAGGCTAGAGAAGACATTATCAATATTCACAAACATTATCAGTGGAGTGGAGCTCAAGAAGCATGTACCTCAGGCATTCAAGGAGATCCAGAAATTCACCGTGAAGGAGACAGGAGCAGTAGATAATACACTCAACAAGGCAGTCCAGGCCAAAGGAAAACAGAATGTCTCATACTTATCTTTATATGGATGTCCAGAAAGTTCTAAATGCTATTTTTCTCAGTGTACTGGTCACCTTAAAAGAAGTTTAGTCAGCATGAATAAAATAGCTTGTTTATTAATAATAAAGCAATATAACAAAAAAATGTTCATTTTCCCCATGAGTTGTGAAATTCCACAGAAGACAATAATTCGGATGGAAGTACTGTTTCCTAATACTGTTTCTTTTTAAAAATAAATTTATTTATTTATTTATTTTTGGCTGTGTTGGGTCTTCGTTGCTGTGCATGGGCTTCCTCTAGTTGCGTTGAGCGGGGGCTGCTCTTCATTCCAGTGTGTGGACTTCTCACTGCGGTGGCTTCTCTTGTTGCAGAGCACAGGCTCAAGGCTTGCAGGCTTCAGTAGTTGTGGTTCGCGGGCTCTAGAACGCAGGCTCAGTAGTTGCAGTGCATGGGCTTAGGTGCTTCACGGCATGTGGGATCTTCCTGGATCAGGGCTCGAACCTGTGTCCCCTGCATTGGCAGGCGGATTCTTAACCACTGTGCTACCAGGGAAGCCCCCCAATACTGTTTAACTACTGTTAAATAACTGAATTATAAACACGCTAAATATATGTACATATATTCACTATTCCTTAATTCATGTAATACTAAAAGGTATGAAGAAAATGCACATAGAATAAACTTATTAAATACTAAACTGAGAAGATTACATTCTCATCATAGTTTGCTGTTGTTTAAACTGTAGAATTACCACCCATCCAGATCAGAGGTTAAACATTCTAAGTAAATATCATTTGACTCTCAAATTTTTTTCATGTATGAAATTATTCTGAAATTATTCTGAAATTTTTTTCATGAATGAAATTATTCTGGAATATGTTGTTCAAGGGCTACATCTAATTTTATTATCAGAATTATGTTATTTAGTCTTTTAGCATGAGTGAACAATTTTTCCATAGGATTTTCTGTTCCTTCAGGGGGTACCCTATACAATTATCTGATTCTGTTTTTTTTAAAAAAAGTTTTCTTCCAATTAGCCCTTTTAATTTACTCTCAAATTTTAATCATTTAAGATAATGTTTTCCTAGAAAATAAACTTTACTTTCTATATTTAAAAATTTGTGTCTAATAGTTTATATATATTTACATGACCTTTAAAAATTCCTCTAAACGTATGGTTGTATCACATTTCTCCTTTCTTATAATGTGAAGGCATTGCCAAAGTCTAGTAAATAATAGTTTTCTTCAAAGAAACATTTTGATTTAAAATAAAAATCCTTCAGTATTGTTCTTTATTCCATGTTTTTTGCATTATTTTCATTAAACCTTTCCATCAGTTCACTTGGAGGCATTTGCTCTTATTCTAGCTTGAGTAATCATTTAACTTGATAAATATTTGGACCCTATAATATGACAGGCACTGTTCTAAAAGCTGGAGATACAGTGGTGACAAGAAATAAACTGCCTTCAATCTTCTTGGTTTTACACACAGCAATTTCCACTGAGAAGTGCTATGGCCACATTCATAGGATTTGATTTATAGGAGCCTCATTATCATTCACATACAAATTGCCTGTAATTTCACTTTTGATTTACTCATTAATCTGAGAATTGTTTACATATGTAGCACTAAGCTTCCAAGAGGTCAGAATTCATTTGGCTCTTTTCTAATTTCCAAAATTTAATTGTGGTGATAAAATGGATTATGCCATTTGGCTTTAGAAATTTGTTAGAAACAAATCCCTTCCAAATGCCTTAAAAAATGCGGAGCACTCAACAACCCCACTTTCATGAAAACCATAAGGCTTTCTTTATAGTATGAGTTTTTTTATGTAGCAAATGAAATTAATACTGAATCAAAGCTTTCTTTGCTTCATTTGATTTTACCAGTTTTTCTTCAGAATTAACATTCTGCTGTTCAATAAGACATACATACAGATGGCATATTTGTCTATAATCTCTTAAGGTCTTCCTCTCATAGAAATGGTCTAATACTATTATTAATGATGGTCATTCAATCATTTAAATCCTCAAACTCATTTAACCCTTACAATCTGATAAGTAAGCAAACACAGAATTAAGTTACTTTCCAAAAATTTAGGAGGTAAGAGGTACTGAAACTAAGACATACCAAATAAATTGTATGACACAGCTTAAGGCTTTTCCAGATTAATTACAAAACACAAATTCACCTTTGGTGTGATTTTGTGGAAGTGCAAAAAGATTTAAGTAATGATGGAAAGTTTCCCTAGATGAGTTAGACTTCAGTTCTATGCAGCATAATATCAATGACGTGGAGAATCTTTTCAGAATGATTCAGAAGGGCTTCACACTATCATCTTACTTGTAGGACTTTACCCAATATTCTATAATTGATAACCAATCAGCTTTCCTCCATTAATATAGATTGCATTAGGAATTCTTTGCTGTTGAGTGTGTTGCGTGCTCTGTCAAAAGGTCTTCCAATATTATTTACACTACGGGCTTTCTCAAAAGAAGGAATTAACTGAGATCAATTAACAAGTCATGAATAAAGATTTTTCCTACATTTTTATATCACAAAATTTCACAAGAGTGAAATAAAGTGAGAGCCTGGAGAAAATGCCCTGTCAAGATCTTTACGTTCATAGGATTTCTCAAAAGTGTAAATACTCTGGTGTTGAGCAAAGTATGAGTCATGACTAATGGTGTTCCCATAATATTTCCATTGATAAAGATTCTCACCACTGTGAATTTTCTGTTCAGCAAAATAAGAATGGTCACTAAAGATCTGGCCACTTTCCTTACATTTATAGGGTTCTGCATCAGTATGAATTTTCCTATGTCGTGTTAGTTGTGAACCCCAGAGAAAGGCTTTTCCACACTCTTCACATTCATATGATCTCTTTCCAGTATGGATTTTCTGATGTCGATTAAGTTCTGAACCACGAAAAAAGGTCTTTCCACATTCCTTACATTCATAGTTTCTCTCACGAGTATGAATTTTCTGATGTCGATTAAACTCTGAACCATGAATAAAGGTCTTTCCACATTCCTTACATTCATATGGTTTTCTCTCATTATGAATTTTCTCATGTTGAGCAAGGTATGAAGCCCATATAAAAGTCTTCCCACATTGCTTACATTCAAAAGGTTTCTTACCAGTATGAATTCGCTGATGTCGAGCAAGGTGTGAACTCCAGACATAGGCTTTCCCACATTTCTCACATTCATAGGGTTTCTTACCAACATGAACGTTCTGATGTCGAGCAAGATTTGAACCACGAATAAAGGCTTTGCCACATTCTTTACATTCATGAGATTTCTCACTAGTATGAATTCTCTGATGCTGAGTTAGGTGTGAGCCACGAGTAAAAGTTTTCCCACACTCCTTACATTCATAAGGTTTTTCACCAGTGTGAATTCTCTGATGTTTAGTAAGATGCGATCGCTGACTAAAGGCCTTCCTACAGTCATTACATTCATAGGGTTTTTCACCAGTATGAATTCTCTGATGTCGAGTAAGGTCTGAGCCACAACTGAAGGCCTTGCCACATTCCTTACATTCGTAAGATTTCTCACCAGTATGAATACGCTTATGGACACTAAGTTGTGAATGAAATCTAAAGGCCTTCCCACATTCCTTACATTTAAAAGGTTTTTCACCAGTATGAATTCTCCTATGACCAGTAAGACTTGAACGCAAACTAAAAGCCTTCCCACATTCTTTACATTCATATGTTTTCTTAGCAGTGTAAACTGTCTGATATCGAGTAAGTTCTGAATCAGGAACAAAGGTCTTCTCACATTCCTTATCGTCACAAAATTTTCCACCAGTATGAATTAACTGATGTTGAATACAGTCTGCGTCAGAACAAAATGCTTTCCTACACCCTTTAAATTCATTCAGTTTCTTTACTGTATTAAGTCTCTGAAGTAGATTAAAAGTTGTGTGCTGGTTAAATGCAGGAATTTTTTCACAGGTGAGTATAATCTGCTTAAAACATTCTTCCTGGTTTTCCTGTTGTGTTTCAAACTGACCTTTGCTTTCCCAATCACCTTTAAAACATAAACATTCAAGGCTATGTTTTTTACAAATTTCCATTATTTCCCACTGAGGTAATCCTCTGTCAAAAATGCCATTTTTTGGTGATGTCTTGGTCTTACACCTGGATTGCATGTCTGAAAAATAAGAAACAAATTCATACTGTTTTACTGTTCAAAAAGAACTAAAATTTTCAAAGTAGATGTAAGAAATAAATCCTAAAATAAATAGAGCAGGGACTTCCCTGGTGGCACAGTGGTTAAGAATCCACCTGCCAATACAGGGGACATGGGTTTGATTCCTGGTCGGGGAAGATCCCACATGCTGAGGAGCAACTAAGCCCATGCACCACAACTACTCAGCCTGAGCTCTAGAGCCCACGAGCCACAACTACTGAGCCTGTGCACCACAACTACTGAAGCCCATGAGCCTAAAGCCCATGCTCTGAAGCAAGAGAAGCCACCACAATAAGAAACCGTGCACCACAACGAAGAATAACCCCCACTCACCACAACTACAGAAAGCCCACGCGCAGCAACAAAGCCCCAAACGCAGCCACAAAACATAAATAAGATAAAATAAAATAAAATAAATAGAGCATATGAAATGTGAATGGCTTAACAAATTCTGGGCAATATGAAAAAAGGGCAAGAAATAAACAGAAATTTAAATGAACTAAAAAAGCTGAGGCAGGTGATTAAATATATAAAGTTTTGCTCAGGGACTTCCCTGGTGGTGCAGTGGTTAAGAATCCACTTGCCAATGCAGGCGACATGGGTTTGAGCCCTGTTCTGGGAAGATCCCACATGCTGTGGTGCAATTAAGCCCATGTGCCACAACTACTGAGCCCACATGCCACAACTACTGAAGCTCATGAGGCTAGAGCCCGTGCTCCATGCTCCACAACAAGAGAAATCACTGCAATGAGAAGCCCATGCACCGCAACAAAGGGTAGCCCCCGCTTGCCACAACTAGAGAAAGCCCATGTGCAGCAACGAAGACCCAACACAGCCAAAAATAAATAATAAATAAATTTTAAAATTATATATATATATAAAGTTTTGTTCAGGTCAATTTCATCTGAGGAGTTCAACAACAACAACAAAATAAGTGCAGGTACTACCCCAATCATGGGATATCAATTTAAAGACTTAAGACTGTTTTGCCCAGTATGGTAAATCAACACTTAGCAGATGTTAGGTATTAAAAAAAATTCTGCAAAAAAAACAATACACTACACGTCAAAAAAAAAAAAAGCAAAGGGGGGCAGTTATAGGAGGGAGTAAAGGATAATATTAAAAAAATCAGGGATCAGGAAGCACAATTGGCATGTGATAGCAATGTAATACACCTCATTGTCTAATCCCTTCCATCTCTACTGAAATGAGTACACATAATTCTACATTACTTTCTGTACAGATTAAGAGGAAACAAAAGCATATCCATGCTTGCTCAGAGAAATGGAATCATACGTACTTACTCATTCTTCCATTTGCCTATGCACATTTAAATACTTTGCCCTGCTCATTTTCTCCACTGTGCCTATTAGTCAAGTCATATTTTGCCAGATGATCCCAACCAAGGTGTTTTTGTTTTATTTCTTGAGTTTATATATTGTTCATCCATTCGATTTTATGCTTTCAAGCCCTTTCTCAAGTGACCTTTACCAAATCTCCATGGGATATCACATTTATTGGTAAAATATTTTAGAAGAACAAAGCAAGAAAATACTACAACTGCTACTATTTGAATATGCTGAAGGGCTTATCCAATTTCTACTATTGAAATTGTACGGGGGGGGTTGGGAGGGAGGTTCAAGAGGGAGGGGATATATGTATACACATAGCTGATTCACTTTGTTCTACAGCAGAAACAGAATATTGTAAAGCAATTATACTCCAATAAAAGAAAAAAAGAATTTGTACTGGTATTAGCATTTGGCTTAGAGACTGACAGAACATATGACACGTTCTCAAGGCTAAAGTAATGGAGATTGGTATCTAGGGTCTGTCTACAGGGGGTGTCCTAAACATCTCTCATGCTGAGTTATAACTGAAGGACCATAACCTAGGAATGTGGGTAAAACAGAGGTAGACCTACACAGGAACTACAGCTCAGTTTCAATTTATCCCAGTGACCAAGGAGGGCAACGGATTGAGATAACAACAAAAATGCTTCAGAACTTGGTAAAAGCGAACAGAAATTCTCTATAAAGGAAGATATCCTAGTGATTAGTTTCACATTTTGCAAACAGTGTCTGGCACGAAATTAAAGAAATAACTAGAAAACATGAATATAGAAACTATAGAAACAATAGATAGCAGAAATGCATCTATAAGGATTCTAGATATTGGAGTTACGAGACAGAGTTTAAAAATAACTATGCTCAAGTAGCTAAAACATAAAATTAATCATTTTATCAGAGAACAAGAAACCAATATAGGTCAAAAGAAAAATTCTATGAGAAAAAGACTGGAAAAGTCATAAGAGAAGCATTATGACATAGAAGATTCAGTTAGGAGATTAAACACAAGTGTAAATAGAAACTTATACAGAGAAGAATGGAAGAAGCAGCAATATTTGAAAAGATAATGGCTGAGAATCTTAAAAACAATGTCCATGAACAGGTGTATGAATAAATAAATTACAGCATACCCATGAATGGAATACTACAGAGAAATAAAAAATAAACTACTGATAAACACAACAACATAGATGAATATGAAAATTATGCTAGGAAAAGAAACAAGGCCAAAAAAATATACACTGTATAAGTCAATTTATATAAAATTCTAGAACATATAAACTAATCTAGAGTTGCAGAGAGCAAGTTAGTGATTTCTTTGGGATGGAGGTGGAAGAAGGGATGGATAACAAAGGGACACAAGGAAATTTGGCAATGACTGAAGTGTTCGTTGTCTTGATTATAGTGATAATTTCATGGATACACACACATGTCAAAACAGATCAAACTGTAACTTCAAATATGTGGAGTTTATTATTCTCCAATTATACTTCGTTTAAGTTGTAAAATAAAAATTTTAGGACCAAAATAAAAGAAAACTAAAATCCTAAAGAAAACAAATATAATTTTAGTCACTCTAACTAGGCACTAGTGTATTAGTGTTTATGTTAATGCCCAATCACACTAAAAATAACAAGTATTAAGCCAACAAGTGATACGGATAAATCAAGCACAGAGCAGACAGTTATCAAATAAATATGAGTAGCAAATCAGTAAACAACTCAGGGGAAATATTTGTCCTCACTAGAAATCAATACCCTTTATCCTATAAAATTATTAGGTTTTAATTAAAAATGACCCATTTTTAGTGAGGCTACACTGAAACTTATTTTGTTCCTGACCTCCATATGAACCAACGCCCTCCAATCCTTAAGAAAACACAAGGATTAATGTCCACAATATACAAAAGCATTCAAGTAGTACCTACCTCTAGGATGCCCATGTGCTTACCATGAATCAGCTGTTTGCTTCCAAACCTGTTTACACCAACTGTTCCTGATATTTTATTTATATATTTTTTAATAACATTATGTAAAGAAATATGAGAGAAATGTCTGTTTTTATGAAAACTAAGCTGAATGCTCTACAAAAACTCATTCAAGAAGGCTACAAATTTTATGCTAGTAGTTTAGAGACTCAATCATAAAGACTGGAAAAAAATAGGAGGGCAGCTCAAAATGAAAACATGGGAAGATCCTGAATTCACTTCCTCCCACAGACACATCAAATCTAGTTAAATACAGATACCCTCTGAAAAAGACCTGACACTTAACTGAAAAGCTCTTGCACAGCAAAGGATCAAAGGGCCACACTGAGACAGGCAGGAGAGGTAGAGAAGTAGTCTTTCCAAAAACCCCACCCCTGGTGTGGCAACTCACAGTTGGGGGGATCTCACAAATAGAGTTCCCTAGGAGGAGCAAAGGGTTCAAGCCCCACATTAGACACCCCAAACCTTGGGACCTACACTAGAGAGATGAGCCTTCAAAATGCTTGGCTTTGAAAACCAATGGGGCTTATGTCCAGGAAAACCAAAGGGCTATAGGAAATGGGGATTCTGCTCTTAAAGGGCTTGTGCACAGATTTACTCACCCCAAGACCCAGGGAAAAAGCAGAAGTTTGCAAAGTGCCTAGACCATATATGGAGATCCTTTTGCTACTATTAAAGTATCTGCTGGGACCTGCTGTAACTGTCTCCAGGGATGGAGGTGCTGGTGGGTGCCACTTTACACTCTCCCTCTACTTTGCTAGCACCAGTGGGATGTGCTCCCCACAGTCCCACCCAAGCTGGTGACTGGGCTTGCCCCAGCCTGGTGTGTCCCCACAGCCATACCTAACCCATTGGGCAGGCTTGCCCCAGCCTGGTGCCCTCTGCACCGCCCCCCCAACACAAGTCAAGTCAACATGGGGGACGTCCACATACCCAAGCCCACATCCAAGGGGACATCCCTTGAATACCTGGCTCTGAGGGCTGGGGGCGGGGGTTGTGTTTCTGGGTTCCATGGGACTGAAACAATCAGAGGGTTCTTGGCAGGCTATTACCCCCAGGGTACTGCACAGACAGCAGACTGAAACACAGCCCCAGTCTTCCTATAACCACTCTTCAAGACTGAGAGAGGTAGCTGTTTCACCTAATACATAGAAACAAAAATAGAGAGTCAAGCAAAATGAGGGAAAA